GTCCAATTCTGTTGCCCTGGTCCAAATTGCCAAACCTCTTTCCTGTTGGTTGCCCTGCTCCCACCCTTCCCACCCTGGCTTCTGCTTTCCTCATAGCAGCCAGGTGACCCTTAGGATCTGTAAGTCAGATTGCCCTTCTTGGGTTCAACAGCCTTTATGGATTCTTATTTTTATTAAAGTTATGATCTCTTTACTTGGCTTTTAGAGACCTTGTGCTCTGCCGTTCATCCCCCACTGCCTCTCTGACTGTACCTCCTGTCCTCTCTTGCTGTCTTTTCGAGACACATTGTCCTCCCTGCCATTTCTCTGTCCTGCCAAGGATGCTGTACTGCCTGTTCCTGGTCACCAATTACCACAAACTTAGTGGATTAAACAAGAAGCTTTTATTATTTTTCTGTTCTTTACACCTGAATCTGACACATCACACTGGACTAAAATGCAGTTGTCTATAGGGCTTCATATTTACTAGGTGTTGTTGGGGAGAAACCTTTCCTTTGGTTTACCTGGATACCATGGCAGGTATCTAGGGACCGTGCACATTCCTCAGCTCTAACTTCCCTTCCTCCATCCTCAACGGCAGCAACTTTGCATCTCTGACCATTCGTTCCTCCATAGTCAAAGAGTAGCTTCCTCTGCTACTCTGCTTATGCCTCTATCTTCTACCTTTCCTGTCCCATGTGATGATTTTGGTCACTTGTGGATATCCCAGGATGATCTTTTTATTTTTCGGCTAGCTGAGTAGTGACCTTAATTGCATCTGCAACCTTGATTTTCCTTGCTGTGTAACATAATACGTTCATAGGTCCTGGGGATTGGGTGTGGACATCTTTCAGGAACCATTATTCTGTCTAGTACAGAAGCTTTTGCCTCAGAGCCCTTACTTGCTCTTCTCTCTGGTTGGAATAATCTTTTATCTCAAAACCTTCTAACCCCTCCTTAAGTTAATGCAACTCTCTGGGCAGTTGTAATATCATGAGGAAGGCCATCTCTAACTACCCTATTTAAAATGCTATTCTATTTTTACTCTTCTTATCCTGTCTTGTACTATAATCTCATATATTTTTCTACCCCATGGATTGTAATGTCTAAGAGGAGGAATTTTAGCTGTTTTGCTCATGGCTGAGCAAAGAGTCTAGAATAGTTCTGGTACATGGCGGGTATCTAAATATTTGTTATCGTGATGAATGAGTTAATGGATGGGGGGAGTTCGCTGTCTCCAGAAATCATGGAGATAGCTGTTAAAGGTGAATGACAGAGAGTGCAGATCATGTTTCTGTGCTGGGTGACTCCCATCCAATCGCAACTTTCTTAGTTTTCCTTGTGATTACATTTTTTATGTGTGCAGTTGACGTACTTCCCATGGTAACTTCTAAGCATTCTTTTTTTTTGTTTGTTTTCATCTCTGCCAATCTGTTAGGGGAAAATGATACTGGTCTTTTTTCTTTTTGTTTTTTTTTAAGAGATAGGGTCTTCCTCTGTCACCCAGGCTGGAGTGCAGTGGTGTGATCCTAGCTCAGCGGAGCTTAGAACTCCTGGGCTCAAGCAATCTTCCTGCATCAGCCTCCTAAATAGCTGGGGCGATAGGTGCGGGCCACCACGCCCAGCTAGCATTCTTTTTATGACCATCCTGATTAACATGCCTTCCCTGTGCTTTATCCTGGAGCTCTCTGTAGGGGGCATATTTAGTTCTGAGAAGAAATCTTTATTGAATGAGGATTCTGATGTCTACTTCTGAGACAGCTCGCTGACATTAGGGGAAAAAAAAAATCTCAATTTTGCGATGTCTCAATCAATAATCACCTTTCTTAGCTATCTTTCCTTTGAAACATTTACCCATGTTTTCCAGAGTCTACATGCATATCACTGCCCCCAGGTTTCTCACACCTTCTCATACTGGGGGGGAAGAATGAAGATGAGGGTGACACAAGTCACGCAACTAAACATCGCCTATGTTTCTGGTCATCTTTATTCAAAAATGTGCATACTTCTGCAGCTTTATTTGATACAAATTTAATTGTTAACTACATTGATGAATATGGTCTTTACATCATTTTTCTTTCATTTTTATAAAGACCTAGTGCTGCTTTTGGACTGGTGAACTTTATCACCTGGAAGTAATTGGGAAATTGCCCTCTCAAAATAAAAACATCCTGAAAGCTACTCTCCCATCTCCCTGAAAGCTTCTTATTTATAAGTTATAGTATATTAAATATATCCATGTACCAATGTGTACCAACAGGTACACCCTTACCTAGTAATATTTTCCAAGATTCTACCTTTGGAAATTAACTTTGCATCAGAAAAATTTACTTAATTTAGGACTTGGTAATATCCTGACTACAGGTTTTCTTTTGTTTTGTTTTGTTTTTTTTTTTATTTTTTTTGAGACAGAGTCTCACTCTGTTGCCTGGGGTAGAGTTCCGTGGCGTCAGCCTAGCTCATAGCAACCTCAAACTCCTGGGCTTATAGCAATCCTTCTGCCTCCGACTTCCAAGTAGCTGGGACTACAGGCATGCGCCGCCCTGCCTGGCTAATTTTTTCTATATATATTTTTTAATTTTCCAGCTAATTTCTTTCTATTTGTAGTAGAGACGGGGTCTCACTCTTGCTCAGACTGGTCTTGAACTCCTGAGTTGAAACGATCCACCCGCCTCGGCCTCCCAGAGTGCTAGGATTACAGACATGAGCCACCGTGCCTGACCTTGTGCAATATTCTTAAGCAGGAGTCCTCTTAATATGTAGCTATAAATGCTCCTAGGTATTTGATATTTAGTAGTGTAAAGAGTTTAATTATCTGCAAGGTTTAGAGGTACAGTTCAACAGAACACTGCTCTCCCTTCATGCCAATTGCAGTGTTCAGTAATTCACTACAAAGACAAGCAGAACTCACTGAATGCTTTTATACTCATAGTTAGAGATATTTATAGGGGAAAGATGTGCATTACAGTTAGTAGAAGGATCAAATAACACTCCAGGGAAGTTCCAAATAAGGAGTTTCCATTGTAGTCTCATGTTAGGGTTAGGATGTGTTACGTTCCTAAGATGAAGGTGTGTTATTACAATATGGACTAATATCCTAATATGAGGTAAGAGAAGCTCACCTGAGCACTGCTATACAGAGTAATTGTTGGGGACCCATTACATGGCCATTATTGGTTGACTGATTTCTCATGTGGGTAATCTTATTCTCCTGGTTGACTGATTCCTTGTGACCTAAAGCCCCACCTTAAATCACATTGTTGGTCTTTTTGATGTGGTGAGCATCACAACCTCTCCAAAGGTGTGGCCAGGGACAATCCTAATTCATAGTATTAGACTACCCAGAGTGACCGAGTACCTCCAGGCAAACAAAGATACTCTCCTCAGGTATGAAATTTCAAGAGCCTACAGATTACCTCTCGGATATTGAGGATAACACCCACACCTCTTTTTGAATTAGGTTAATTTCTTCACTTCATAAGGATACATACACAACATAAACTAAAATATATAAAGTATTGATCATGTTATTGTTTCTCCCTGAAGTTCCTTTTGATTCATATTTCATTATGTACCTAGATTATTAGGTACATAATTTACCATGCAAGGTTTTATTTCTACCGAGTATTTCACATAGGAGACTTGGTGTGGTTCTGAATTGGTCTCATACAGTGCAGAGAGACCGTGTTGCCCTAGCAAAGCACAATCTGAACATACCTTGTATTCATAAAAGTTTCATGCCATGTCCTAACTGGAAATCTTGCTAATACTGAATAAAGGCTTCACTTGTCCATATCTCTTAATTCTATGTTCTTATAGGAGACAAAATCCAAACCGAGATGGAGACTATTCCAGAAGCAGTATCACATAAAGACTTGTCCTGCCAGCAAATCTTGGAACAAATAGCAAGTAACTTAACCTGGTCTCAGTTCTCCATACAAGGTGATATGGCCTGCCAGGTTGAGACAGGACTGTCTATTATTCACATAGGAGAGAAACCTTACCTGGATCATGAGAGTAAACAGTCCTTCAGTGATATCTCAATCTTTGATCTTCATCAACAATTACACTCAAGAGAGAAGTCTTATACGTGTAACAAGTGTGGAAGAAGCTTCTGTTATAGCTCAGTTCTTCAGATTCATCAGAGAATTCACAAGGGAGAGAAACTCTATAATTGTGATGTGTGTGGTAAGGAATTCAGTCAAAGATCACATCTGCAAACTCATCAGAGAGTCCACACTGGAGAGAAACCATTCAAATGTGAGCAGTGTGGGAAAGGCTTTAGTCGTAGATCAGGACTTTATGTTCATCGCAAACTACACACAGGAGAGAAACCTTGTAATTGTGAGGAATGTGGGAAGGCCTTCATTCATGATTCTCAGCTTCAGGAACATCAGAGAATCCATACTGGGGAGAAACCATTCAAATGTGATATATGTTATAAAAGTTTTCATAGTAGATCATACCTTAATAGACATTCCATGGTTCACATGCGAGAGAAACCATTCAGATGTGATACATGTGGTAAGAGCTTTGGTCAGAGATCAGCACTTAATAATCATTGCATAGTCCACACTGGAGAGAAATGGTACAAATGTAAGGAGTGTGGAAAAGGCTTCATTTATAGGCGAGATCTTTATAGGCATCAGATGGACCACACAGGGAACAAAGCATATAATTGCAAAGAATGTGGGAAGAGTTTCAGATGGGCCTCAAGTCTTTCAAGACATCATCAGCGTGTGCACAGTGGAGAAACACCTTTGAAATGTGAAGAATGTGAGAAAAGATTTACTCAGACTTCACAAGTTTATGCTCCTCGTAGAGTCCACAGTGGAGACTCGCCTTTCAAATGTGACGAATGTGGGAAGGGATTTTATACGAACTCAGAGTGCTATTCCAATCAGAGAGCCTGGAGTGGAGAAAAGCCATACAAATGTGAGGAGTGTGGAAAGAGTTACAAAAGCAGGTGGTATTTTCACTTTCATCAGAGGGTCCACAGAGGAGAGAAACTCTATAAATGTAAGGAATGTGGGAAGAGCTTTGGCTGGACCTCAAGTCTTTTGAACCATCAGAGACTCCATAGTGGAGAAAAACCATTCAAATGTGAAGAGTGTGGGAAAAGGTTTACTCAGAGTCCACAAGTTTACACTCATCATCGTAGAGTCCATAGTGGAGAAAAACGATTCAAATGTGAAGAGTGTGGGAAGGGATTTACTGAGAGGTCAAAACTTCATTCCCATCAGAGAGTTCACACTGGGGAAAAGCCATACAAATGTGAGGAGTGTGGAAAGAGCATTGTACACAGTTCGTACCTTAAAGACCAGCAAAGAGACCACAGGGGAGAAAAACCATACAAATGTGAGGACTGTGGGAAGGGCTACAAGAGGCGCTTGAATCTTGACATGCTGTTGTCATTATTTTTAAACGATACATAATTATTCATATTCATGGGATAGATTGTGATATTTTGATACAAGTCTACAATGTATAATAATCAAATCAGTGTAATTAGCATATTTATCTCCTCAAACATGTATCATTTCTTTGTGTTGGAAAACCTTCAAAATCTGCATTTCGAGCTATTTGAAAATAAACACGAAATTGTTGTTAAATCACCTTGTAGTGCTGTAGAATGCCAGAACTCATTCCTCTACCTACCTATACTTTTGTATCTGTTAATCGATTTTGGCTGTTCCCCCATCCTTCCGTGCTTCTGGTAACCACTATTGTATTCTCCACTTTTATGAGATCAACTTTTGCAGCTTCCATATATGAGTGAGAACATATATTTATCTTTCTGTGCCTGGCTTATATCATTTAATATAATGTCCTCCAAAACTTATGCACATTGCTGCAAGTGACACGATTTTGTTCTTTGTTATGACTAAATAGTAATTGTGTATATATGCCATGTTTTCTTTATTCATTCATCTGATGGACCTTTAGTTTGATCCCGTATCTTGGCCTATGTCTTGGCTATTGTGAATAGTGCTTCAGTAAACATGGGAGTACAGATATCTCTTTAATATACTCATTTTCTTTCCTTTGTATATATACCTAGTAGTGGGATTGCGGACCACTTAAATCTTTATATGCATTAGAGGGTCCATATGGGAGAGAAACCATGGAAGTGTGGATAGTATATTCTTTGATCAGGCCTGAAGTCTTCAACTTCAGAGTGTCCACACCGAAGAAAAAATTTAATTATGTCCTGTGTGTGGTTAAACTCTTCACCACTTCTTAACATCCATGATCTTGTCCGAGTGTTCACACGGGAGAAACATTAATCAAAAATGAGAGTCGTGGCCGGGCACGATGGCTCACACCTGTAATCCTAGCACTCTGGGAGAGGTGGGAGGATTGCTTGAGCTCGGGAGTTTGAGACCAGGCTGAGGAAGAGCAAGGCCCCATCTCTACTAAAAATAGAAAACATTAGCCGGTTATGGTGGTGCACACCTGAAGTCCCAGCTACTCAGGAGGCTGAGGCAGAAGGATTACTTCAGCACAGGAGTGTGAGGTTGCAGTGAGGTTGTAGTGAGCTATGATGATGCCACTGCACTCTAGGTTAGGCAACAGAATGAGATGCTGTCTCAAAAAAATAAACCTCAAGAAACTAAAAGAGGAAACTACCACAGCACAATAAAGGCTATATACATGGAAAAACTCAGAACTTAACATTGTATTCAATGGCAAAAGACTGAAAGCTTTTCTTCTAATATCAGAAGCACAATAAGTTTGCCTTGCTTTCTTCACACCTATTTAACATAGTATTTGAAGTTCTAGGCAGAGTCAGTAGAAAAAGAAACAAATCTATTAAAATTAGAAAGAGGTAAAATGATGCCTATTTTCCGATGGCATGTCCTTATATATAAAAATTCTAAACAACTGATAAGAAAAAAACTATTAGAGCTTACAAATAAAATCAGAAAAGTTGCAGGATCAAAGATCAACATGGAAGAAGCAGGTGTATTTCCATATGGGAACAATTAACAATCTGCAAGAGAAACAACTTCCATTTGCAATAGCATTGAAATGAATAAACTACTTAGGAATAATCTTAACCAAGGACAAAAAACACTTGTAGACCGAATTCTGCAAAATGTTACTGAAAAATTAAAGAAGGCAAAAATAAATGGAGATATGTCCAGTATTAATGGATTAGGAGACTGAATATTTCAAGGATGTCAATACCATCTAAAGTGATCTATGCTTTTTACTAACTGGACTAAAAAATAAATAATAAAATTTTAAAAAGTGATCTACAGATTTAATGTTAATGTTTATCAAAATTACCATGGCATTGTTTGCAGGAATGGACAAAATCCACCCTAAGAGTCTTATGACCTATTAAGGGACACTTTCTCCCATTGTTGTATCTTAGACCTTCCCATTTCCTATAAAAGACTCCTCCATAACAATTTGTAGTGCTACTCTCCAGCCATCTCTTCCTGTACTTCCAGATTGTTCCCTCTAGCAACCTAGCGGGAATAATCCTACAACCTCATAGATACTTACAATACACTATAACTATCACCTTTTTACTCTTTTTTTTTTAACCCCTGATGTCCTCACTGCCAGCCAAGTGCACCTCTTGTCAGATGGGGACAGCTGACTGCCACTTATTTCTCACTTCCCAGAACTGTGTCTTATGATAATCTGCTGTTGGAAGACGGAGAAAGAGAATATTAGGTTTTTTAGGCTTTGTGGGAGAGACAAAAATCGCAATAGGGATTTGGAATGGAGGCTGCAAGCACCAGTCAATAGGGAACGTCCTAAGTAAGTAGTGGGTAAAGTATATTTACTGTGATGCCATCTCCAACTCCACTTCAGGAACACCTGCTGCAGAGTTAGTCATAGTGATGTACCAGGATAATGCAGACCTCCCTGTTTTTGGTTTTTGAATCATTCTCAGGCTTGGGAATTGAGCACTTACCAATCACAAATTTCTCCTTAGATACTTTCTAAATGATCCTTCTTTTGGTTTGGAAGCACTGTCTTCAAGGAGTGCAGGGCCGTGAATGGACATATGTGTGAAAAATTAACTCTGGGTGTTCTGCTGAATGTAATGATAGAAGTATTTTTAATGTGCTATGAGGAGGAGGGAATATACCAATTTATGATGTGTGAGTGGGATATAGTTTCCAAATTACTGTTCAAGCAATCAGCCCAAACCTTTTAAAAAATTGAGTTATGGTTCACATGCCATAAAATTCATCCCTTTTAAATGTATACTTCAATAGTTTTTAGTATATTCCCAAAGTCATGCAAGTATCACTACTATCTAATTCCAGATCTTTTTCATCAGCCCAGAAAGAAACCCCCCTCCCAACTGGCTGTCACTCCTAATCATCCTCCCTCCACAAGATACTGGCAAACACTAATACATTTTTTTCTTTATTGATTTGTATATTCTGGATATTTCATATATATGAAATTGTACAACAAACAATCTCTTCTGTCTCACTTCTCTCACTGAGCTATCAATTCTCTTGGGTATATACCTAGGAGTGCAGTTGGGTTATAAGCCCAGTCTTTTTGTTTGTCCATTTTAACTGATATCAATTTCATCGAGACATCCATGCCCTGTGATTCTGCACTCTTCATTCTGGGAATGGACTAAGACTAGGGCTCAAAGACAGATGAGCAAGAGTGCTCACTGGAGTACATATTATAAGACAAAGGATGATTAGTTGAGATTGGCAATGGCAAGAGAAGAGAGCAGTATTGCCCTTAAATCCACACAATGGTGTCCACGATTTGGGCTCTGTGCATCATAGCCCCACAGTTGCCAATGCCTTCTTCAGATTTCTCTCTGGTCTTTGGAATTGATTCTGTCTGGAAGTGCTGTACAGCTGGAGTATCCTGAGCCCGACCTGGACCTATATATGCCCCATTCTGTTTTTGCATCTGGAGTAGATGTTTCATTTTATTTACTAAATTTATTTCTAAAATCAAATAGAAACTAAATGCTGTTACCAATTTTATCATTAGATTGGAAAGACAAAATCTAATCCCACATTCCACTGGCAGGTTTGAAAGCAAAAAGCTACTCTCATGCATTGCTGGTGGAAATGCAAAATGGTATAACCAACATGGAGGGGAAGTTAAAATAAGCAACAAAGTACATATTTACCTTTTGATGTTGCAGTCCTGCTTTTGGGAATTTACTCTTATGGTAGCTCA